GCAGGCCCTACAATACACCATTTACAGGGAGATACAGTGTACACAGTGATAGCACAAAGAGATATAGTCGTCGATGAGAACAGGAAAAGAAAGTAAAAGGAAATACTAGTTGAAATAAAAAAAAATAATAAATAGAATCAACAAGCTTGGCTATCCTTAAAGGCATTCTATTACCGCCCCAAAGAAAGTTTTATTTTATTTTCTGTGTTTCTAAAGGACTGAGCGGGCGTATAAAATCCGTTATTCATAGCAAAATGCAGTGTACACAGAGATAGCACATAAATACCGACAAATGCCGAAGTGAACTGAAAAGGAAACAGAAGACAACTCTAAAGGCAACAGGGCAGGTTTAAAGCCAGAGCAGAGGGCAGCTAAGTACTGTTCTTTTTTTTTCCTCCTTATTTTTAAATAGGTAGATCTATACACAGTCTGCACCGCCCCCCCCCAACAACAACAACAACCATGAGTATGATATGTGATTACTGCAGGGGGACGTCGGATATGGAGGACACAGGCCTGACGCTTACAGCGTTTAGGATGTTGCAGACTGCCGTAAAGCATGAAGGCTGTTACTGGTATTGCCCTGACTGAGGTGAATGAGGAGATTGCAAGCCATAGGGAAACAAGTTTCCTAGGGACGAAAATAGATGAAACTGGAGCCTTGCTGGTTGCCAAACTAGAACAAATTGGGAAAGAGATTCTTGCTAAGACTGAGGAAGTAGCTGACAGAATGGAGGTGGTTGCTAAGAGGAGTTATCCTGACGTATTAGCAGGTGCACGGGAGGGGGCGGAGAGTAATGCAGGATCAGAACAGGTTCTACAGCAGGTAGGAACTCTAAGAAGTGTGTCGAAGAAATGAAAATTAACGGACCTACTGTTAGGGGAGAGGAGGAGCAACGGGAACGTCTCCAGCGCAGGAACAATGTAATAGTTTTTGGAGTCCCTGAGAGCTAGGCGGAGGGAACCGAGAGTAAGATAACACACAATAAGATGCAGTTTAAAAATATTTGTACAGAGGTTCTGAAGATGCCATCAACCCTGTAGGTTATGTATCTATGCTACTGTGCCGAGTAGCAACCTTGTATATAAGCTACTGTGCCGAGTAGCATCTATGTATATAATTATGTGGCAACACTGCACGTGTTATGTGGCAACATTGCCCCGAGGCTGCCATATGGCAAGGCAGTCTCAGTCTGACTTCGTGGGCCGTGCATGACACACGCTAGTCACCACTTGTATTTCTCCTATCCTTTAATAAACGGACTTCAGTGTTATCCGGTGTTTCCCTACCCAACAATGCATTCTTCAGGGAACACTTGGAACCTTCAAACCCCTCAGGGTGTGAGGAGGCTGGGACAAAAGCAGGGGGACAACCTTGCCCCCTCAGGATCACACTAGTGAGTGAGGAGGAGAAATGGGAGGTTTTTCGGCAGGCAAAAAAATTAACAAGGAGCGAGGCATTTCGGAGTGTTTTCATTCACCCACATCGTGCAGTAATGCAGAGGGAACAGCACAGGAAGCTCCTGCAGGGCTTGAAGCAGAAGAGGGAGGAGTCAAGGAGGAGCAGAGACGGGTGTACATGGGTTGTATTCAGGGAGAGAGTGGTGGAAACAAGTGTGCCGACACAGGGCCGGGGGACAGCATGTACTGCGCTCGTCATTGTCAACCATAACAACTCTTTTATTCATATTAGGCTACATAACATTCAAACCCACTGCGCTTGTAGAGTCTCAGAAAACGGGAAACGTTGGTAAAGGATAACTCACCTACTGTATGTTTTATACGAATTGTACCAAGGTACGGTCATATAATATTAAGTGTATGTACTCATGGCATTAAGGAGAACTCAAGGTATCTATAGGATGAGGGAAGGTCCAATTGATACGGACTTGTGTACTATAAGGGATAAGGGTAGATCGTGTTTGAAGGTCATGCTATTTACGTCTGTGAACGATTAGTGAACATAGCTACCGCAAGTATCAGATGAAAATTTAAGAGAACAATGATCTGGAAAAAGGATAAATGTATCAGACCTATGTGAAGTGTTGGAAGTGATCCAGAAACTATACTTCAAAGAAAATATCTTGTATGCCTCGGTGTGACCTTAATACACTTCGTTATCTCATGTGAAGAATAACCACGAACAATGCAATGAGCAGAGAATCTTATGAAGGTGTTCAACGATTGCAACGTATGAGGGGAGGATCCCTAAATACAGATTGAAGTGAAGTGGATATACCCACGCCATGAAAATACGACGCTAAGCCTTGTTTGAGGCTGGCGCCCATTCCGACCTGGGCTACAGTTTTGAGTTGATGATATAGCCAAATTTATTTCCCCAGGAACTGGCAAACCAGACCCTTACTTTAGTATGTAATTTAGGATTAAGATATATAATTATAAGGCATAAGGTCACAATAAATAGGGAAGTGTACATGTGAGAACCTGAATAATATCAATGTGAAAATTAAAGATTAGAAACTGTAGGCCTAGGTCAGTGAGAGACGCGCCTCTGGGTTCTCAGTAACACCACGTCTCTCACCAAAACAGGTCAGTGAACTCCATCGTGCTCCATTCAGCCCTAAAAAGACTTGTCTAGCAGTTTTTACATCTTAAAACCTTGCCTGATGTTATAAAGTGAAGTAATAGTTGTACTAGTATGTGGTGATAAAAGCTCATCAGGCATTACTCTCAGTAACACCAGGTCTCTTTCCAAAACAGGTACCACGCGTTTAGAGCGTTGGCCTGTAGTGGATTTCTCCCCTACAAACGCTGTTTGTCGCTGAGTAGCCGACCCCGCGAGATTCCACAGTGTGTGCCTCGTGGTCTGGGTCAACCATCGCCGCCATACATCACGGAGGTCAACTACTAAGCCACGCCTATCCCTGCTATTTAAGACCTGACCTCGTGGTGATCTCCCTCTTTCTACCTACACCAACCAGCCAGCAACACCTCCTCCTCCTCCACCTGCCTGGCGGTCCTCGCTCCCGCCGGCGAGCATGGCGACCCACAAGCTGTTCTCCTCTGAGCACCCTCACCAACCAGCTCTCTCTACATCACGCTTGTAACCATGCTGCCTTCCCAGCACCAAGCTGCATTGTACATCCAATACAACATGTATACAGATAGCACATTGTGAGTTTCCTTTCTTCACCCCATCCTGAGTGTAAACCAAACATCCCATACCCCACACACAGGATGGAGGAGAAACAAATATACCATCCCACAAATGGTGACCCCGGAGTGACACTCACAGGATGGAGGAGAACGAACAAACATCCCATCCTGAGTGTGAACACCAAACAACCTGTTCCCCACAAATGGTGACCCCGGAGTGACTCGCACTCACACAGGATGGAGGAGAAACAGATCACGCTCCCAGTCTTCAAGCAACATGGAAGACTGGTTTATCCACCCAGAAGCAGCTCTCATCGGCTCTGCAACTACTGTCTCTACACCAGAGGTTAGACACCCTAGAGCAGCACTGTTTCTCTAAGCAGACAACAGCTCCTCTACCTGCCCCAAGCACGACGTCCTACCGACCCCAACACACCCGTCCTGCCTCAGACGCCGCCCCGGCCCAGCAGTACCCCCTGCCGCTTCTCCTGACGCAGCCCCTGCTCCTGAATGCGGACCCACACACCCCTCTTTTCCATCTCAGGTACTCCCTGCTAATGTCCAGCACCCTGCTGCTGTCGTGGACCCAGCTGCTGTCACGAGCCCTAATCCGCTTCTGCTGACGCAGCCCCTGCTCCTGACCCAGGCCCACACACCCCAGCAGGCGAATCTGACGACTCTGTACCTGCCATGAGGGAAGCACATGCACAACCCGTCCTGCATCAGACGCCGCCCCGGCCCAGCAGTACCCCCTGCCGCTTCTCCTGACGCGGCCCCTGCTCCTGAGTGCGGACCCACACACCCCTCTTTTCTCCCTCAGGTACTCCCTGCTAATGTCCTGCACCCTGCTGCTGTTGTGGACCCAGCTGCTGTCACGAGCCCTCATCCGCTTCTGCTGACGCAGCCCCTGCTCCTGACCCAGGCCCACACACCCTAGCAGGCGCATCTGACGACTCTGTACCTGCCGTGAGGGAAGCACAACATTCATCACCTCCACACACCATTTTTCTCCCTCTCTACTCCCACAGATATTGTGTATCTAGACAGTTGTCTCTAGCGACTGGCTCATCCACGCCATCGCCATTGTCTCACATGAGGCATGCACCGCCCGTTCTGCCTCGCATGTGCTATGCAACCCTGCAGACAACAAGTCTCCTACACCGCCTGGAGGGAAGGAGGGAGTATTGTAGTGGATTTCTCCCCTACAAACGCTGTTTGTCGCCGAGTAGCCGACCCCGCGAATTCCACAGTGTGTGCCTTGTGGTCTGGGTCAACCAGCGCCGCCATACATCACGGAGGTCAACTACTAAGCCACGCCTATCCTCGCTATTTAAGACCTGACCTCGCGGATGATCTCTCTCTTTCTACCTACACCAACCAGCCAGCAACACCTCCTCCTCCGCCTGCCTGGCGGTCCTCGCTCCCGCCGGCGAGAATGGCGACCCACAAGCTGTCCTCCTCTGAGCACCCTCACCACGCTTGTAACATCACGCTTGTAACCATGCTGCCTTCCCAGCACCAAGCTGCATTGTACATCCAATACAACATTATTCAGAGAGCACATTGTGAGTTTCCTTTCTCCATCCCATCCTGAGTGTGAACACAAACAACCCATACCCCACAGGCCATTACCACACTGTGAGGGACTCGCCATGTGTGACTACTTATGAAGCTAGACCCTGCTGGTTGCCAAACTGGAGCAGTTGGGAAGAGATCCTTGCTAAGACTGAGGAAGTAGCCAAATTGAGGTAGTTGCTAAGAAGAAGTTATGCTGACATATTAAGCAGGGACACGAGGCGATAATGGGATCAGAACAGGTTCTACAGCAGCTAAAGGGACTCTGAAGAATTAATGTCGAAGAAATGAAAGTGCGGACCACTGTTAAAGGGAGAGGAGGAACTCTGCGCCAGGCATCAAGCCCATAGGAACAATCATGGTTTTAGATCTCTGAGACTGAGCAAAGGGAACTGTGAGTAAGATAACACATGATAAGATGCAGTTTAAGACTATTTGTACAGAGGTTCTTAGATGCCATCAACCCCTCAGGATGTGAGGAGGCTGGGACAAAAGCAGGGGAATAAGCCTCGCCCCCTCAGGGTCACACTAGTGAGCGAGAAGGAGAAATGAGAGGTTATTCGGCAAGCAAAAAACTTAGCAAGGAGCGAGGCATCTCGGAGTGTATTCATTCAACCAGATCGCACGGTAATGCAGAGGGAGCAGCACAAGAAGCTCCTGCAGGACTTGAAGCAGAAGAGGGAGGAGTCAAGGAGGAACAGTGTCAGGTGTACATGGGTTATACTCAGGGGGAGGGTAGTGGAAGCAAGTGTGCCGACACAGGGCCAGGGGGCACCAGCGCACCCTCCACCCCCACCTGGGAGGTGGCACCAGCTCCACCTACCACCCGGGAGGCAGCGAGCGCCTTGTAAACAATGACATTTCTAACCACACCCTGCAAAATACAGTGTACTTAGCAAATGCTGCAGCTTCTGAGAATGGGGGGGGGGGTTACTACGAAGAGCAGAGACGTTACCGAGAACAAATTCTGGCTTGAATGTCATGTACACTAATACTGACACGTTTCTTGATAAGAGAGAGGAGTTTGAAACACTACTGAAAGTACACCAACCAGATATTGTAGGAGTTGTAGAACTGTTGTACAAGAACAGGAGAATCAACCCAGAGGAATTTGAGTTCAGTATTGCCGGATATGACTCATTTACGAACCTTTCTCAAGAAACTTGCAAGAGGGGTGTGGTTATCTATGCTAGGCAAGACCGTAGAGCCAGTCAGGTGAGGGTACAGGGTGAGGATGTTTTTGATGAGTCCAAGTGGTGTATAATTAAATTAAAGGGAGGGGACTTGCTTATTGTCGGGTGTATCTACAGATCCCCAAACTGTGGCCCACTAAATCAAAGGAACTTAAGAGCCTTAATAGACAATGCAGCGATGCTCAACCCTAGCCACCTCCTTACCATGGGGGAATTTAACTATAGCGACATCGACTGGAGAAACGAGTTCACCCCAATTGACTTGAATAACCCTGCTACTATTTTTATAGAACTCTGAGAGATAATTTTCTGTTCCAATATGTTAGAAACCCCAACACATAACAGAGGGGAGCAAACGCCCAAGCCACTAGACCTCAACATAACAAATGAGGAGGGTTTGGTGGCCAAACTAGAACACCTTGCCCCAATTGGCTCAAGTCACCATATAGTGTTGTCATTCAAGATAAGGCTAGGCCAAGGTGCAAATATTACAAGGGAAATGACAATGGGATGAGGGAAGTGATGAGGGCTATCCAGTGGCCTGACTCATTAAGGCACAAGAATGCAGACACTATGCTGAATATTCTAACTAGTAATGTGACCCATTTGATCGATAAATATATACCGAAGACCAAACCCAGTGCCTCAATAGAAATACGATGGGATCCCTACACATGAACCATGCGGCGGTCAACAAAGTTAAGAAGAAAACCCAGAAATTCAAGATGTGGGTTAAGTCAAACGATGAGTAGGACAGGAGGATGTATACAAGAGCCAGAAACCAAGCAAGGCAGAGTGTAGAAGGGTTGAAAAGGAGTTCCAGAGGCTGGTTGCAAGCGAGGTCAAGTCAAATCCAAAGGCGTTTTACCGCTATGCAAAGTCAAAATTAAAAACGTGAGTAGGAGTATCAGACCCGAGGCTTGAAGATGGTAGTTACGCAGATTCTGACCAGGATAAAGCTGAGGCATTGAACAGCTTCTTTTCCCCGGTGTTCAGAAGAGAGGATGCGATTAACCTTCCTGCATTTGAGGACAGACGGTTCGCCACAGGACTGACCCACATTGTGTTCACAGAAGAGGGTATTAGAAATAAACTGTCAAAGCTAAAGGTCCATAAGAGTCCCAGCCCTGACATGGTGAATCCTAGAGTGCAAAGAGTAGTGCAACGAGCTTGCCAAGCCCCTGAAGATCCTGTTTTGTAAATGCCTGGATGAACAAAAGGTCCCCAGTGAATGGAAAGTGGCTTATGTGAGTCCTATCTTCAAGTACTTGAGCGTATTATCAGAGATGCCATGATGGAACATCAACTACGAAACAACTTTGGAAATGACTGCCAACACAGTTTTATGCCGGGGCGCTCCTGCTTAACACAAATGCTCAAGGTATTGGATATTTGGAACCATATTCTGGAACGGGGTGGTAATATCGACAATATATGCCTAGATTTTGCAAAGGCTTTCGACTGTGTATCCCACTAAAGGCTGAAAATTAAACTGGAAGGGTACGGAATTCCAGGAAATGTCATAGCGTGGATAGAAGACTTTCTACATGACCACAGGCAGTGTGTGGTGATTAATGGTACGAAATCATCATCTGTACCTGTCACAAGCGGGTTACCACAGGGCAGTGTATTTGGCCCGCTGTTTGTTTGTTTGTTTCATAAATGACATGCCTGGCGTTGTACACTCCTCCATACAAATGTTTGCCGATGACGCCAAATTATTTCGGGAAATCAAGAACCAAGCGGACTGTGAAGAGCTGCAGAAGGACCTCTGTGAGCTCCAAGAATGGTCAAAGAAATGGCTGCTGAGATTCAATGTCACGAAGTGTAAGAGGATGAACCTGGGGTGTGCCAACGGTAAGGAGGCGTATCATATGTCCCAACGTGATGAAGAAACTGCACTAGTTGAGATTGAATGTGAGAAGAACCTAGATGTGTATGTTGACAATGAGCTGAAGTTCTCGGGCTATTGCAAGAAGAAGGTAAATCAGGCAAATAAATAATTGGGTATTATAAGAAGGTCGTTCAGATATGTAGACGGTCCGTCCCTCGTAACGATCTTCAAGAGTGAAGTGCTTCCCCATCTGGAGTACTGTCACCCCGTCTGGTCCCCGAGATATGCTAGGGACTGTCAGTGGTTGAAAATGTTCAGAGGAAGGTCACCAGACTGGTGCCTGCACTTCGGCACCTCAGCTACCCTGAGAGATTGGAGCACCTGAACTTGCCTAGCTTATACTACAGACGGGCAAGGGGTGACCTAATAGAGGTGTACTGTACTGTAGAAGCATTTCAAGGGGCACTACTCAGTCGAGTGTCCTTACTTGGAGCTGGCGGACGCTAACCCCACAAGGGGTCTCAGCTCAAGATTGAAGAAGCCGCAAGTCCAGAAAACTGAGAGGGCAAACTTTTTCGGAGTGAGGGTTGTGAACTCTTGGAACAATCCGCCAGAGTGTTGTGACGGCACCGAGTGTGAGCTCTTTCAAGACAAGACTTGACTAACACTGGAGCAGGTTTAGGTACATTCAGGTGCCAGTGCATGCCCAGTACTTGCCAACAGTGCGTAACAGAGTCAGTAAATAACTAGTACTTGCCAACAGTGCATGACAAAGATGTGACCGATCGCCCAAGCGGCTAACGAGCCGATCAGTGGTGAAGATAAAAGTAAAAGCTAAAAATGGTGACCATGGTGTTTGTGCCACTACCCCCAAATAATTATTACTTACACCCTCAATATTTGTTCTAATGAAGTGATAAAATAATGTGTATTGAAATGTTTATAATGAAATATTTTTTGGATTTATGAGACACTAGTGAAATGGCTACTCATAATACAGATGTACAAAAGCATGTCATAATATACAGTAGGACATCGATTTAAAGCGATTCAATTTATGATTATTGATTTAAAGCGACACCCACAATTAAGGACAATGTTTTAATTTAAAGCGAATCTTTCTTATTTTGCACGAGTTAATCTGGTGCATCATATTTAAAATGTTGCGCCTAATGTTTCTCTGGGTACGGTACACTGTCCTAAGGGCAAAGCTGTACTGTACTCAAAATAATGTACAAAATGATTACTAAAATTTTTGTCTAGTGCAAACTATAGCATGATTATATTCAAATTAATCACTATCTTATAAGAATTCCAGCATTGTAAATTATATTCTCCCCGGTCTCTTCTATGACATTTTACAGACAAAAACTCAATCTAAAGAACATAAATAAACAAATGAATACTTCACTAGACCTTCAGCGCCAACTGTCAATCCTGTTACTGTCACCTCCCTCCTCCCCAGGGTTGGGTGGTTATAGGCTTACAGACTAAAGTTAGGAGAATATAATTTGCATTGATAAAATCCTTGCAAGACAGCGAATAATTTGAATATAAACGTCATATGTATTGCACAAGAGATATAAATTTTAGCCATTTGTAATAAAATTAATTAGAACTAAAATTTGTATGTATATATTTAAACTACATAATCACTATCTTATAAGAATTCCAGCAATGTTAATTATATTCTCCCAGGTCAGTTCAGTGACATTTTATAAGAGAAAAACTTAAAGGCACTCTTAAGGACATAAATAAATAAGCACTAGACCTTGGCATCAACTGTCAAACATATCACCTCACCTCCCTCCCCCCCATCTTCCCAGTCAGTAAACAGACCATTTCACGTCCCTTAATTTTAGCTGTGTTGATTTACGAGTGTTTGTTTTAACATAACACTACAAAAAACAATGTTTTGTTTATTCTAGGAGATGGGCTGAGGTGCATCTGGGTAGACTGTCAGTCTTTTTAGTATTTTGTGTTTCTCTCAAGTACCAAACTAAATTATTCCATTGAAACAACACTTTGATTTAGTGTGAATTCGGCATAAAGCGACCTCACTTGAAACGTGTCTTGTATTATATCGACGTTCTACTGTATAGGTCTAGCTTGGAAAAATAATAAGTGACAGTGAAAAGTAGTGAAGTAGAGGCATGCATATGGTGAATTATAATGAATATACAGTCATCCCTTGGTTATCACGCCTAATTGGGACCAAGCCGAGTGCGTGATAACGAAAGTACAGAACCTATGGGATTTATTCTAATTGGTTCCAGGCACCGAAGACCCAAACCCAAATCTCCCATTTTACGACCATTTAGACCCATTAAATATACAGGGGGTATATATAATGTTATGGTAAATA